GGCTAAGAGAGGTAGAACCAGAGGAGACATCTACAGAGGCAACTTGTAGTCCATTAGCTGCAATAGCTTTGGTAACTCAGGAAGAAGAGCAGGAGTATAACCCAATGTTATCGACTATTTGGACGAAAGAGGAACTAAGTAAATTGCAGACAGCAGACCCTATCATTTCGCAAATAATACCACAAGTATTGGACGACGATAACCAATTTTATCTATGCCCAGATAATATCCTTTACGTTAAGAGAAAAGAAGGGGACCGAAATGACAAATTGTATGCACCTAAAGCCATGGTGAAGGAAATTCTACAAATATACCATGACTCCCCTATGTCTGGTCATGCAGGACAAAAGAAAACCCTAGAGGCAATACACCGGGATTTCTTCTGGAGAGGAATGAGACAAGATGTTAAAAAATATTGCAATGCATGCCATTCTTGCAATTTACGGAAAACCAATTACCAACCTCCCGCAGAACTACAGAAACTACCAGTTCCATATGCTACGTTTGGGCGTATTTCTATGGATTTAGTTGGACCTCTCAACCAAACCAAAGATGGAAATAAATATATCCTCACTGTCATGGATTACCTAACAAGATACCCAGAATGTATTCCGCTTCCAAATATAACAGCAGATACGGTAGCTAGAGCTTTCGTAACAAACATCATCACAAAATATGGCACACCTCGACAATTACTAACGGATTGCGGTCAGCAGTTTGTCTCAAAATTATTCAAAGAGATATGCAAAATTTTGGAAATCAAGAAACTTCAAACTACTCCATATCACCCTCAATCAAACGGAATGATAGAACGAATGCACCGATCTCTAAAAACCACTTTATCGCATTATGTGACCGAAGACAACGATTCATGGGACAGATGGTTACCCTTCGCCACCATGGCATATCGCAATCACGTGCACGAATCAACTCAAGAAACTCCATTTTTCTTGATGTACGGTAGAGATATGGAAATGCCATTACATTTAATAACTAAACATGCACAGGTTCGTTATGACTTAGATGACAATTATGCAACAGAAATGGTTCAGAGAATGCAAATAGCGCATGAAGTGGCTCGATCAAATCTGAATAAACAAGCCGAAAAACAGGTGCAAAGATATAACCGAAAAGCCAAACCGACATCACTTAACTTAGGAGATCGTGTATATCTTTACTCGCCCGCCGTCAAGGCTGGACGTCATTTAGCTCATAAATTTTATCCCAAGTACTCAGGACCGTACCGAATAATTGAAGTGTTAGGACCAGTAACCTATCGTATTAAAGAAATCAATGGAAGAAAAGATCAAGTTGTACATGCCAACCGACTAAAAAGATATCGGGGATTGGAAGATATGGATGAGGAAGAAAATGATCGAACAATTCCTAAACATCTGATAGAAAGAACCCCTCAACCAGTTATTGATACTAATCCAAGTAAAATCATAAGATTACCGCAAGAACAAACAGATCAAGAGAATTCTGAGCATACATACAATGAAGAATTAAATCCTGAGGATCACGAAAACATAGAAGAACACGATAATGACGAACCACTTGAAATATCAACCACTGATGTTTCCGAAGAAGAGGAAGAAGAGGATAACGAAGAGGAGGAAGAAGGAGACGAAGAAGATAATTCTGAAAATGAAAGAAAAAATGAGGAAGTGAATGAAGAAAACTGTGAGGAAGACCTGGAGCACAACAAAACACAGGACAATATGAATACTCAAGTATCGCAGTCTAGATATAATACTAGGTCACAAGGGCAGGTAGAGGACCATGATTGGATTCTCAAAAGGGCCATTTAACAACAGCAGGGCGATCCAACTCCCCACCACCACCCTATGAGCACGAAAACATCGCCCCAGGTGTTGGGCCTATGATACCTCAAAGGCCACCCCTGAACCGTTCTGTGCCATACCCGGCACCTAACCCAGGACAGCGAGAGGACCATCCATTGAACCAGCCTGGATCTACCCAAGAAGCCCAGGGGTCAAACACCCCGACCGAGCGATGGGTTTATCGAATGGGACGTAACCTGAATAAGGTTACCATTAAACGTCACTGAGTGAGTGAATTAATTTTATAGAAATAGGTTTCATTAGACTATACGAGCATGTAATTATCGTTATTTCATAATTCACCAGAGTAGAGATAAGTATTAAAAGCAATATATATTGGAAATTGTCTAAAATTTTCGTAGGTAGTAGTATAGAGTGGAAAAAAAAATGCAATAATTTTAATTTTTAATAATGATTATAATTAATAATAGTTATATTATTCAGGTATAGGAATTTTGCATGAACGACTCTATATATTTATCGTTAGAGAGGTCTGCAGGTACCTACCAAAGATCATTCAAATATCTCATTCATTTTATTTGTTGATACTATAATTTACTGGGTCACAACTTTATATAAACAATTTCGAGGATGTTGTAAGATGCTCTTGATGTTTCATGGGTGAAGTTCACGTAATAATAGCGCTAGAAAGAAATACAGATCATAATCTATATATAGCAACGAAATTCATATGTTAAAATATGGAATTTCGTTTACGAGGGATGGATCGAATGTAATGAACGCGAAGACTCGACCAAAAATAGCATAACAAATACTAATGCTAGACACTTCACACTTATAGGAAGTAGAAGGTCGTTTTAATTAGGTCAATAAATATTTAGGTATCTGAACTTGAATGCATTCAATAAGTATTAGAAGGATAGATTGATAGAGCAACATTATTACGTGAATTAACTCTTGTTGGAAATATGAATATTTGTTTCAAATACCAAGAAATGCATATATGTAATAGGTTTATTATTAGGTACTTTACCTTTGTAACATTGTTGATAGTGGCACACAGGAACAGCGAAAAAGATGTGTATAAAAGTTAGAAAAGAGTGTACAGGGAATTCATAACCTAAGTAACTGAGCCACAGCAGAGGGGCGGGCCAAAGATAGGTAGAGGCCAGATGAATTATTACAAAAATCAATTAGTTTAAAATCTTTTCAGATGAACATTGAAATCCTTTTTCTGTACTTAATTTTAAGTAATACCCAAGGTCAACTGACATCGATTTTTGCAAAATGATTAATGATAAAATTCCATTAAATTAAAAACTATTTCTGAAAACATCCAAAGCCACTCTTTTTGCACTTTAATTCGAGGTCAATTCAACTAAGCGAAAATCTAATGAATTCTGATTAAATTTATGACCAAATCTCAGTATAAAAGCTGGGAGTTTTGGCATAAAAGTCAGTCTTGATCTAAGTCTTGATCGAACTCTTGATACGAAGTCTCATGTCTTGAACCAGTAACTCTGCTAAACAGTCTAGTTATACGTGATATGTATTTGATATTAGAAATTGCTTAAAAGTCTGTACCTAGTGAACATATTGTGTTGCTGCAATAGATGTGTATCGAGAATTATTGAACTTTTATAAAACTGTATTAACTTTTCAAAGTGACCCGGTATAATAGTGCGAGTGTACATCATCCTGTCATCATGTACAACCAACCAATATTATGTAAGCACATCTGTTTTACTTCCATGTCAACTCTGTCTGTCCATATTATGATGATTGCTGAATAGAGATTTATGTATTTTGAACTGCCATATTAATGTCTATATACACCAATCTTACTCCTGCCTAAGTATTCACGAACCCAGTGAATCAGTAACTTTGTGAAGACCCCTGTATAGGCCAACCCAAGAAAAGGGGTGCTTTACACCAGATCTAGTAACCTAACCTAAGATATGTTACCAGATCTAGTAACCCAACCTGAGATATGTTACCAGATCTAGTAACCCAACCTAAGATATGTTACCAGATCTAGTAACCTAACCTGAGATATGTTACCAGATCTAGTAACCCAACCTAAGATATGTTACCAGATCTAGTAACCCAACCTAAGATATGTTACCAGATCTAGTAACCCAACCTAAGATATGTTACCAGATCTAGTAACCTAACCTGAGATATGTTACCAGATCTAGTAACCCAACCTAAGATATGTTACCAGATCTAGTAACCCAACCTAAGATATGTTACCAGATCTAGTAACCTAACCTAAGATATGTTACCAGATCTAGTAACCCAACCTGAATGTATTCAAGAAACGAAAAAGTCGATATGCAATATGCAATTTTAATCAACACACAAATGAAGAAGAAAAATTATTGATGCAATCGATTAACTGTCAAACACATAAAACATTTTGTGTAGGTACACCGCCTACTAAGTGAAATAATTATGAAAAAATAGACTGATAGCCCTGTGGATCATCGTATAAGAGGAACAATTTTAGTTTTATTATTCCAAATGGAAAGATCATGTGATAGGTACATGGCGAAAATAGAAGACAGAAAGTTTCTGTACGAGTAGCTGAATTCGAAAAAACATGTTCCTATCTTAGATTCCTCAATATCATGAGTTATTTTCGAAGGTTTTCATCTTGACTCAAACAAACTATTGACAATCTGCAGACATTGATCAGAATATCGAAACATTTTGAATAATATCGGTGATATAAGCCCATTGTTCTCACGTGATTTTCCCAAGAAAGGTTATTGCTGATAGTAATACCAAGCATCGAAATGGATGTCTTCAAAGGTATGGTTACTCATGACAAGCTTATGTTGGGCTCGCAGTGAGATCGGCTTTTCTAGAGAAAAAGCATGCTTGTATCTATTTCGAGGTATTTCAAGGATTCAATTGATCAGTAAGCAAAATTTTGTGTCGGTTTTCGATTTCAAAAAATTCATCATCTTTTACAAGTCAACTGCAGATCTCTCTATATCTTTTAATGCATCCACATAATTTATCTTTTGACCTCTGACATGCTCTATATAGTTACATCTAAAATATTACCGATCATGCAAATTATAGTTATACCCTATTCTTGGGAAAATTCTTGATACACAGTTTTTGTATTTGAATGGAGGAATTCTGATAGCAATTCTGTGTAGGTATTTTTGGGTAGTTTCGACTTACCTGAAATGAATTTCACATAAACTTAAACTTCACAAATCATAACGTAATCAATGATGTTGACTTGAGTCTGCTTCTATCAAGAATTAATGAGATAGTATTCGGAATATATATAGATCGAGATAATATATAATACCGCCTTATATAAAGTGATCGTCTCTCGATGATGAACTTGGTTTCATCAATTTTTCTGTGTTCACTCATTATTATAAGAATTGGTTTGAGAACATATATTTTTGTTTTAGTATAATTAAGAAGTATTTTCTGAATATCACTGCTTATGACTGAAAATCTGGCCAAGGTGAGAATTTAAAAAAAATAATAATAATAATGGATCAAGACCTTCCGTTCATTAGTGAAATATCAAACATTCTTTGTAACAAAAAACAAGTCAACTGTTCCTCAATTCTGATTCAGAAAGTTGATTTTGAAAAGTATCAACTGTATTTAAAAATATATACATACATTTCAATTTTTATTTCACTACTGAACATATTGGTTATATTTTTATATCATAATACACCATATAATTTCCTCCGAGAGATGATGACAATTCAAATTTCAGAGGATTTTGATTCTTCATCTCTTTTTTTGGATGTTCAACAGATATAATTAAATGTTCGACGTGGCAAATAGCCAGGAAAGTAGTTGTTTTTTGTTGAATATTCAGAATTATATTATGGACATATCTTTGTATGAGGGAGAATGCAAATTCTAAACTTCAAAAGATTTTGTTTTCAAATTCTTATCGTGTGTGTTCAATAGATTCAATTCAATGTTCGTCGTGGCATATAGCCAGGAAAATAGTAGTTTTCTGTTGAATAAACCGAGAAAGAATTGATATTTTCATCACATAGAGAATGCGAATTCTGAATGTATTTTTTTATATATACAATATCCATTTTTTTATGTTCATAATTATATCTCGGAATATTCCCTTTCAATATCAATGTTATTTCAAAATCATCAATTTAAATACAAAATGCGTCAAATTACGCTTTTCCAAACACAACTGATACATTTTGAAAATGATATTGGTTGAGAACATATATTTTTCTACAAACGTCAAAAAATGACAAGGTTCGCGCATTGATAACAAATTGCGAAGTGACACTTTTTTCAGTTTCCTACGTTACCATTATTCCTTGCACAAAACAATGTGCGAAGTAAAACAGTGCGCGAAGTACCTACTACGCGCATTGTTATGTAGAATAAATGAGATATTTATATTTCAACTTTATGGTCCTCAATCGAGCAGACATCCACAAAATCATTTATTTCTGAATGTTCAACAATAACTTTGTTTTTTCTCTTGGAGCGCATGAAAGGAAATTCCTATTATGTTCGTGGAACATCGTGCGTACCTAGGGAGGATAGGGGGAGACCTTCCAAGCCAGTTCAACACTATTTTTTATATCAAGTTGAGCATATTTTTCCTTTAGAACTATATTTTTTGACGTTTGTAGAAAAAATGTTGTTTGCAACTCGAGCGCGAAATACTTTGGTCATCTCGACTATTTTTTCAACTCGGCTACGCCTCGTTAAAAAAATCAGATCTCGATAACCAAAGTAGCATTTCGCGCTCTAGATACAAAAATAACTATTTTGTTATAGTATAATTGGAAAGTATTTTCTGAATATCACTGCTTATACCTGGAAATCTGACTAAGGTAAAAATTCAAAATAAAAATAATAATGGATCAAGATCTTCTGTGTATTTGTAAAATATCAAACATTTTTGTAACAAAAAACAAGTCTAAACGTTCCTCAATTTCGATTCAGAAAGTATCAACTATGATTCAAACTATTTCAAACTAGTGAATTCAATTCAAAAATGCAACAAATTATGCTTTTCCAAATACAACTGATACATTTTGAGAATGATTTTGAGCTATGGAATACAAATGATATGCTTTGTAATTCAAGTAATAATTTGAAAATGATGCTTTTTGAATGTGAATGGGACCAATCAGAAAATTGTGAATATAATAGTCAATTATGTATCAAGGACACAAAACCGGTAATGCCCTGAATTATACATGATTGCTTATTACGAGTAACCTGAACGTCAGGCGATAAAGTAGTCCGCGAGCGGTAAAGTACCACTTTATGCCCGCGAAACCAGTCGTGCATAAAACTATTATTGATTCTTCTACAAAATCAACGCTTGATGACCTGCTGTTGTACATGAATTTCTTATAACATCCTCATCACTCTCAGAATCAGCATCAACCATATGCTCAATGTCATAGAATTCTTTCGACCTGCTGAAACACTTCGCTACTATCAATTCAAAATTCTTGTTGTGCTTCCTGTATATAAACAGGACCAGAACAAAGTGGCCATTAATGAAGAGAGCAGGAAAAGCAGCAAGATATAACAAGAAAGCTTCTATCGTGAAATGGAGAGAAAAAAAATTCAAAAAAGTATGGATGATAAATTCAGGTACGAAGGAAAATACCATGGTGTTAGCAGTATACAAGGCGAATATGCTTTCACTGTTGTTTTTGTCCCAGCCACTTTTTTTAACGAAGATATTGAGAACTGTTAGTCCAAAAAAAGCAACCAGGTATGTAGTTGTTCTCATCAGAGTCAAGTTGGCCAAGAACCAGTAATCATTTTCATTAGATAAACAATAGCTTGTTCTTATAATGACAGCTATGAAGAAACCTGAATATATTATTCCTAAAATAAACTTCCAGTATTTTTCCAGTATAGAGCACAGTTGTGGTTTTACAATACAGGCGAACCAATCCAAAGCTAAAATGAGCGCTAAAAGAAAATACAAACAAAATAATAGGTGCTGCAATTCGTTTTGAAAACAAAACAGTTTAGGAATGTAAATTTCACATACTGAAATCATGAAGAAAAATATGAATCTTTGTACCTGAAAGTAAAGGTCAATCATACTACAATTCAGAATATACCAATTTAGTCGCGTTCTGAGTTTCTTGAAATTGTAGAACACGTAAATCAGGAAAGAATGCACCAATATCATTACAGTGCTCAACATGAGATCACCAATTATGGAAAAAATGAAGGTATATGTTGCGTAGTGTTCTTCAAAAGTTAACATGAAGTCTATATCTATTGCTCCATCTCTCGAAGACCAAAATGGATCAGATTCCATGTTTGTGAGATTGGATACTTCAAGTTCTGATAGTCCCTTCTGCATCCTCAAATGAGTATCTGGAAGAAAAATCAATAATTCAATTCCACCAGTACATAAATATATAAATAAGTTGAAATAAATGCAAAAAAACTCGAAGTCATTTCCACAAATGTTCATGAAATGGACCACAAATGGTTGATTCGAACTGATCTAAGTTAGTGACAGAGCGTCAATATTTTCGTGAATATTTCATCCTCATCGAAAGATAATATCCGATGGACCAGTGGTGCTCACACTACAAGTACTTTTATCAATTACTGGTCCATCGGATATTATCTCTAGAGGAAGGCGAAACATTATCGCTATCTTGCTCAGGATAGTGATTGGCACAAGTGCCGTTCGATGAACTACAATGTTTTCACATGCCTTTGAGAATTATACAGGGTGAGTCATGAGGAACTGTACATACTCCTACGACGAATAGAGGCCCCTGAGGGGAATACCGGATGCCCATCAGAAAGTGTCTCCTTCAATTTTTTTCCAATATACAGTGTGTCCCACTTACCATGCTCACCATGGGTATCTTTTTAATGGTGAGAGATACGAGGTCGGTTAAATGACACCAAATGTAGAGTTTGTCAAGGCCAACTATAATGTGAAAAAATATTTTGATAAAATCTTTCCGTTTCTGTTTTATATGCAAAAATCAGATTTTGATCATTTTCATGTCTCCTCCATAACTTCTTTATTTATGAAAATATTCGAATAGGAATTTCACATTCTCATTCTCATGTCAGTTTTTCAAAGTGATTTCGAAAAAAATATGAAATTTATACCAACTCTTCTAGAATTTGAGATATCAGCACCAACTTTAGTTTTTCAAATGAAGGTCATAGCTCACTATGACTTAGTTACAAATAACTTTTTTTCTCTCACAGATGATATGTTGCAGTAATAGTTTTGTGTTGATAACAACGGAGTTATCCTCATTTATACAAAAACAAAAAATTATTTGGAAGCCGCCATCTTGAATTTATAAATTTCAACAAAAAAATCATGATCTCCGACCTCAAAAACCCCCACTCACCAATTTTGAATGGAATCGGACCAAATCTTGTCCGCCATCTTGGAGCAGCCATTTTTTTTAATTTCAACAAAAATTTCATAGCTCCGATTAACTTGAAATTTGGCAGGTGTCGGAGATCATGTTTTTTTTGTTAAAATTTATAAATTCAAGATGGCGGCTTCCAAATAATTTTTTGTTTTTGTATAAATGACGATAACTCCGTTGTTATCAACACAAAACTATTACTGCGACATATCATCTGTAAGAGAAAAAAAAGTTATTTGAAACTAAGTCATAGTGAGCTATGACCTACATTTGAAAAACTGAAGTTGGTGCTAATATCTCAAATTCTAGAAGAGTTGGTATAAATTTCATATTTGTTTCGAAATCACTTTGAAAAACTGCCATGAGAATGTGAAATTCCTATTTGAATATTTTCATAAATAAAGAAGTTACGGAGGGACATGAAAATGATCAAAATCTGTTTTTTGCGTATAAAACAAAATCGAATAGATTTTATCAAAATATTTTTTCACATTATAGTTGGCCTCGACAAACTCCACATTTGGTGTCATTCAACCGACCTCGTATCTCTCACCGTTAGAAAGATACATATGGTGAGCATGGTAAGTGGGACACACTGTATATTGGAAAAGAAGTGTATAAGACACTTTCTGATGGACATTCGGTATTCATGACTCACCCTGTAGTAAAAATCAATATCATTTCTACTTACCGGTGGTCTCCAACAAGAATATCGAAATAATCACTATTTCTAGTATCAAAAACTTTGGAAGACAGTAGATGTCAATGTATGTCAATGTTTATTTCATTGCACGAGCCAAAACGATGTCCGCATATCAATATTTTACGGGATTCAAAATGAAGTGGCTATATTTCCACCTCTCGAATTATCGGTATCGAATTTCCAATTAACTTTCTGTCAGATATTAATAACACTGTTATAAATAGGAACTTTGTTATGCAGTCGAACCTTCATTGAAAAATTAATCAGATATATCTTCCAATATTACAAAAAAGAGAGAATAGTCGAATTATTTTGAGAGCGAAGTCATTTCAACACATTGAAAAAAATATCTAGAAAAAATCAGGTCTTCATCAA